TGCCGTTATAACTTTGAGCTGTCACTAAACGAACTGCAGTAAGTCGAAGACTACCTGTAGTCTCCAGGCTTATTCCCGCAGAGAGGAGGGGGCCCTCACTTTTTACGGACTTCAACAGGGTTGCCGATAGTTTCCTAAAAAAATAAAAATAAAAGAAATAAACTCTGATTCTACACAGAAATACTCAGAATAACCACTACAAAAAGACAACAAATCAGTTTTAAACCAAATTAATTTTACTTATTTAATAGCTACAATACGATGCGATGTATAGAAAAATGTAGATTTGGTTAAATTTTAAAATTAAAAAATAAATAAACTAGAAACCCAAATAGGGAATTGAAAAAGTCAGATATGGATTAAAAAACCCAGCACGGGCAACCTTAGGATGGAGTAATAAATTCTCCCTTAAGGGATCATTGGGGAAAACATCAGAGAAGGACATTTTGTCCCAATCACTCCTGGGCCTAGAGCAGGGTTATCTAGGTTTGATAACTAACTCTTAAGATTTGTGGACTTCAACTCTCAAAATTCTGGTTGAGGAATTCTGGGAGTTGAAGTCCACAAGTCTTACCAAGATTGGACGCCTCTGGCCTAGATTGTGCTACATTGATTCAGTGATTTTAAATGTTTCATCCCCCCCCCTCCACTGCTTCAAACATTTGGCTTACAAGCAAGAATCTCATTTAATTAAATGAAAATCTTTCTTTCAAATGAAGGCAATCTTGAGTATCAATCCCCAACTTTTTATCCATTCACATGTATTTAGAAGCAGAATTAGAGAAGCATTTATATTTTTCCAGTTGGCAAAAAATTCTCTCTCTTGATATCTGGGAATTGTTTAACCACTGCAATTTATGAGCCTGTGGCAGGGGAAAAAAGACGCCTATATCTTATTTATTTCTTGCCATCCCAGAGTTCATCCTGCACACTCAGTAATTGCTGCAGCTGATAAATACAATGTTTAGAATAGGCTTGTAATCCTTTGTGGTCTTGTGCTTTTGGTAAAACTCTTTCTGGAACCTGAGCTGGCTGGAAAACCTGGATAGCTTTAATATGAATGATCCATGAAAGAACTTGAAAAAGATGGAAACTTTGAAACATGTCCTTTTATGGAGAGATTTGAATGAGAGTTCAGTTGTTCCTGGCTAGTTCAATTCTTGGGCTTATCAATGCAAAGATTTATCACTTATTGTCTGGTGTTCTGACTGAGGCTTCCCAAGAGCATGAAGCAAACTCCTTGTCCCGACAAAACCCCCTTTTATCAATTTACTATGAATTCTGCTCATTCACATCCAGTAAAGTCTTTCAAGGCAGGATTTACAATTACAGACCTTATCTGGCTTGGAGAGCTTCCAGGCTGATATCTGCAAAAATTGGCAAGGAGTCTTAAGTGAATTAATTGTCTCCTGCAAACTCCACTCCCCTTTCGCTCCTCTTTTTTTTCCTCTGGGAGGGGCCATTCACCGTCCACCTGTGGCTTTACTCCCAAGTCGACCCCTGTTCTTTAGCTGTTCCCTGTATGGGCACACTGGAAACAGGCTCCAGCTGTTCATCTGCCCCACTGATGTCTGACTCTGAAGGCAGCTGATAACTGTCAGATGGCTCTGGCCCCCTCTCTGCCTCCAACCCAGAGCCCTCATCAGAGCCTTCCCTAGACTCCAGGACTGGCCTATCTTCCTCCCCAACCTTCTCACTGTCCGAATCTGCTGCCAACTCTGCTGGCTGCTGGCGGGCCACAACATCTGGTTGCCAATTTATATTTGATACATTAGGTGTTTTTAAAAGATTAAGCGATTATGTTTTTATTTATTGTTGGCTTTTTGCTATAGAGCCTGGCAGCTCTAGACAGCCATGAAATAAATAAACCATCAAATTCTTGCTTTCTGTTTGCAGGAAGCCAAGTTGACAGACCAGCTCCCGCTGATCATTGTTTGCGACCGCTTTGACTTTGTCCACGACCTGGTCCTGTACCTGTATAGGAACAATCTTCAGAAATATATTGAGATCTACGTGCAAAAGGTAAGGCCATCTGTTAAGGCACAGGGTCCCCTGGAGCGGGCAGCTACATCCAATCTAAACAACTGACTAGCCTACACTTGAATTGAAATTGACTTGACTTGAATGGTGGCCTCAGGTGAACCCCAGCCGTCTGCCGGTGGTCATTGGTGGCTTGTTGGATGTGGACTGCTCTGAAGACGTCATCAAGAATTTGATCCTGGTGGTGCGAGGCCAGTTCTCCACCGATGAACTTGTCGCCGAAGTGGAAAAAAGGAACAGGTAATTTCCTGAGAATTGCATCGTATCTTTCAGTTCCAGAGCTAACAGCTGGCAGAATAGCCAATATTTATTTTATTTTGTTTTTATTTTATTTCTACGACTTGTCAGTCTGCCAGTCTTCTTCTTCTGTACTTTGAACATGGCTGGCTGGGGAATTCTGGGAGTTGAAGTCCACAAGTCTTAAAAGTTGCCAAGGTTTGAAAAACATTCAATTAGGAATAGGTTGAGAAATTAGCCTGCAGGAATTCAGACAATAACCCTGGTTGAATCCACAGATGGGATAGGAGTTTGTTAGCATAATGAGCAGGCTGGACCAGTTTGCTTGAGAAGAAGAGATCAGGAACTCCATATGTGAACTCATGAAACAAAATAAAAGCTGCAAGGATTTTATTATTTTATTTATTATATGTCTATATATAAAATGGCTCTGTGTGTGTGTGTGTGTATGTTTCAGCATAACTCTGGAACACCTCAAGCAATTTCAACCAAACTTGGTATACAGATGGCTTACTCTCTGGAAACAAATACTGGGGGAGGGGAGGGGGGATAAGACACCCCTAAAAAAAACCCTCAGGGTCTATATGCTGTTAAGGTGCAGCCTGTTGTGCCTTAAAATGGCTTCTACTGTACAACGCAGTAGAGTTGGCATGGTAATGGCTTCACAGTACTCCATAAGGGCGCTCCGTCTGGCAAGGGGGAAAATCCAACATTAGAAATCCTGTCTAGTACAAGATTAGGATAAATAAATACCCCGGGTTATCAGATAGTTATATAATAGTAAAGGTTGGGGACCCCAGTTTGGGAGCTGGTCTAAAACCCAAATTGCTGTTCTCTCCTTAGGTTGAAACTCCTCCTGCCGTGGCTAGAGGCCAGAATCCACGAGGGTTGTGAAGAACCAGCTACACACAACGCCCTGGCTAAAATTTACATCGATAGTAACAACAACCCGGAAAGGTTTTTACGAGAGAACCCTTATTACGACAGCCGTGTGGTGGGGAAGTACTGTGAGAAGAGAGATCCTCATCTAGCTTGCGTGGCTTACGAGCGAGGACAGTGTGACCAGGAGCTGATCAACGTGAGTTTCTTGGAAATGGGTGGCCAAAACGGATGGGAAGTAGATTCCTGGTTCATTCTTTTGGAATCCCTTTGGTATAGAGCAGGGGTGGGGAAACCACTGCCCTTTGATGAGTGGTGGACTTCAACTCCCAGAATTCCTGAGCCAGCATGGCTGGCTCAGGAATTCTGGGAATTGAAGTCCACCACTCATCAAAGGGCCGTGTTTCCCAGCTGGCTCAGGAATTCTGGGAGTTGAAGTCCATAAGTCATAAAAGGGCTGTGTTTCCCCACCTCTGGTATATGGATTCGATTTATGGCCACAATTGAGACCTGAGTTACAAATGTTCTCCACTGTGAATGACCTCAGTTATTATACAGACCTTTCTGAAAATACCTCTTTTCTTACATTCTTTGTGGCCCTTTAAGCTTGCTCGTTCATGAGAAGTAAAGCCATTGCTATCCTTGGTCTGTACATTTGGGGGAACTGAGTCTAGGCTCTGTTCCAAAGCCTGTTCCAAAATTAGTTAAAAATCTAGCAGGTTTATTTTCCCCCTTTGTTTTTCAGGTTTCTGAAACGAAGTCGTGAAACTTTGGGGTTTTTGATGCTCTCTGATCTTGGTTTTCTTGCAAATGTTTCCTTACTAGGTAACATCATCAGTTAGATGATGACGATGCTACCTAGTTTGGCAATGAAATATAATATCATTATATTAAGAAAACAGCCAAGCTCAGAGAGCATCAAATATAATATCATTATATTAAGAAAACAGCCAAGCTCAGAGAGCATCAAGGACTTCATAATTCCATTAGGAAAATTCTGATTTGTGCTGAAATAGATAAATTGACGTGGGAATTGAAGAACTGAAGACGAATCAGAATATTATAAGATCTGGGATAAATTTTATCGATGGTTGGAACAAAAAAGGAAAGACCCAAAATAAGCAATGACTAAGATTTATAGAATGGAGAGTAGAATTATGTATGAAATCATAACAGTAAAAACGTATAAGACAAGAATAAATCAACATGGATGGAAATATGATATCCTTATATTTGTAAATATTGAATAGACCAATAGTTTGTGTGGGGGGGGTGTAATGTCCTG